TATCGGGAATGTCTTTGTTGAAGATCAAAAACAGCACAGGGACCTGCCTTAAAATGAAATGAACTAGAACCTTGTCCGTTCAACACGACCTTCATTATACGATTTGTTAGAAACGATTACAATAAGCCAAATATATATGCAAAATCCTGTCGAATGTCTTTCAGATACTATAAATCCCCATGTATAATAAACCTTTCTCCATAATACGCACCCCTAAAATTGTACTGAAAGTATGGGAAAATGCTTCTACTCACGCATAATACGCACCCCTTGTTTGGTAATCAAACCCTATAAATTGTACCTGTCCGATTACATTACGGCCAGCGTTTCCTACTCTTATTTAAAAAAATGATTTTAAACATAGAATAATATTATTCTAATTAATTTTTATGATGATTCTTATTTTATTTTACGGCAATTTTTAAAGATTTTTTGTAGCTGTGCATAATACGCACCCCTGATTTTGCTTATTAGTTTTTAGAAAAAAAAAGTGTATTATACATGGGGAAATACGGTATTTAAGGCCACATCCCTAGCTTTTCCGTTCTTATCTAAAGCTTGATAGACAAATTCAGTGATGTCTGCTAAACCTGTAGAAACGGAAGTCATATTGTTTATCCGAAATGAGGTCGTGTAAAGTAAGATGCTTAACTGATTCGGCAATGATTATATTGTTTATCCTAATATGGCAAATTTTAGGTCCCCAGAGTTCTTAGACAGGAACTACAGAGTAAGATGCAAAGCATTTATAAAAGTTTGATTCAAGGAGCAATTTCTTTTTAGACCATTGGGGATGCTATCTAGATCTAGTTTAAAATGATAACAAAACCATACCATGAGCTAAACCATAGAAAATGACCATTCAGTCTAGGAAAAATCAGCAGCGATATTACGGATGAAGCGAGAGTGGAGTTGGAAGAGAATTTACGAACAAAGCAATCTGATTTATAGAATAGAAGACAGCACTTCTAATTCTAATTGGAGAGACGGTTTGCTTTTGTTCATTACATTCTTGCCACTCCGCCAGTGATCTCTAGAACAAAACTTGTAAGAGGCTATACGATGCCTCATTCTATCAGAGCGCAACATATTCATTACGATCCGTGACGTCTGTTACAATCAGAGTTGTCGCTCTGGTACGACCGAAAGAAGTGAATTCCAAGAAAACAAAGAAATATTGTGGTTTCCGTCAGTAGATGAAAAGTTTTTTTTTCTCCCAGTTTTTCCAAACCGGATGATTAAAAGTATCAATCTAAGGCTGCATCGTGAGGAAATCACTTAAATCAGTTTCAATCAGTGCGTTGATAACAGAAAGCTGTTCTGTTAATACGGGGTTCTTACCTGATGGGTGGGCAGGAAGAGTTATCTTTAGTTATGGTCAGAGTTGACAAGAGGACAGAGCTGCTGAGCGCAACATAAGTCCGGGGTAGGAGTAAGGAAGTGATCCAATAAAGAAACGTGTCCGTCAGAGATGCTTTTTTTTTGTTTTAAGCATTTCACCCCAAGCAAGACGGGAAGCCACTAGAACTCAAGGAGTTACAGAGAGTAGAGAGGAAAGGGATGATGAGAAAGGATGATGAGAAGGATAGATAGATTAAGATCTGAGATGTCGATTGACATTACATTTGAATAGTTGGAGATTATAGCTATCAGGAAAACAAGAAAAGGGGAGGGAGTTCCACAGGCGAGAAGTGCGAGACATGAAGCTATTGGAGTAGAAGAGACGGCTACATTTAAAAGTTTCGACAGTGAAAGGGTGAGAGCGAAATGCCAGCCTAGTTGAACGCTTAAATTCATGAAGTCTGGGAACCAGCGAAAGCAGCTCATCGGGGCAGTTACCGTGAAAGTATTTGTAAAAAAAAAGTCAGAGGCGGGCAACGTCACGTCTGTGAGAGAGCGGCTGCAGACGAGATGCCAGATCAGGGCCAATTACATTGCATATCCGTCTTTGGGTTTTATCAAGGACTTTGAGACAAACAGAATGGGCTCCAGACCATATATGGCAGCAATGCTCCATGCAAGGGCGACGCCTGGAGAAGCCTACTATTTGAGTGACAGACTGAGCAGTTGAGACGTTCAAAGTCTGGATGCCAGCGAGGTCAGTGGCATGAAAATAATAAAGCCATTTTGACACGATGGGCACCGAAGTCGCCGAACACAAAGATATTTGTAGACGAGTGTAGTGAGAGGGCATTGTTTGTATTATCAGAAATCCTAACTAGCAAGCAACGCTCATGAAAGGAAAAGAAACGGTGATGGAAGAAGAGATAAGTGACCGAGTTTAATAATGAAAATCGGAAGCAGATGTACGAGTAAGAATAATCCAGTAACTCAACAGACAATTCCCTTCCCTCATCTTCCACGCGAACATAGACACCAAGGCTATGCATGTCGACACTAGAGTCCTTTCGAAAGTGAGGAAGCAAGCTGGAAACAGAATTATATATAGATAGATAACAAGGAACAGAAAATCATATATATATATATATATATATATATATATATATATATATATATAAGACATTTTTATGTTTATACGTTCTTTTTTTATAGATACAAATATTTAAGTAAATGCTCTGTTTATAATAAACAGTATTAACAACATTTACCGGCCTGAATGTCCGAGAAATCTTCATAGAAAATATGCGTCCTCCGACAGGAATCGAACCTGTATCCTATACAGAACCGTCATATAGCCTGACGTGCCGATTGGGCGACAGAGGAGCGTTCGGTTAGCAAGGTCGATTTTACTGTTTTTAAACACATATTCTCCATGATTTTCTCTCATTCATTCATATCTACTCAATGCGTATCTAAATGTAAACAAATGACTTCATAGATTATGAAATGGACAAAGACCGACAATTATTTTTTAAGACATTTTTTATGTTTATACGTTCTTTTTATAGATACAAATATTTAAGTAAATGTTCTGTTTATAATAAACAGTATTAACAATATTTACCGGCCTGAATGTCCGAGAAATCTTTATAGAAAATATTGTTTATTATATTTTTATTAATCCGACAGACTTTTACTCTCTATTTAATTATTAAACTGTATAAACAGTATATAAATGTGTCTCTCATATGATTTCTTGAGCATAAATAGCATTATATATATATATATATATATATATATATATATATATATATATATATATATAATAAAAACATTTCAAATACTTCGTTATATAGATCAGTTATAACAAATTTAGCATAGGAGAAAAAGGAAATTGAAAGGATAGGTTGCATTAGAAGTAGTTTTTCCAAACACCACAGTTTGCCACAAAAACAAAAGATTAAACTAAGAACTGGAGTCAAATTCTAAAATAGCCTCTTCAGATTGAGGTTTTCAGGTGGATGTCATGCATAGCACCAGACTTGTTCAGAAATATATAAACATTTAGCTGAACATAACCGCTTTAACGGAACAATGATTGAAAATGGATTCCAATGATGGAAGCCTGAAGGTCGTAGCGAGAACCATTCTTCTTCGAACCTACAGAATTACAAAGAATTGCACCGAATAACAGAAACCTCATCACTTGAGGACTTTCAATGGCAGCAACAACTAAAATGGATAGCACATATAACTCGAAGAGAAAATAAGGACATAATCAAGATGTTGACACAATGCTCGAAAAACCGACAACAGTTAGTGAAATTAAAAAAACTATTTTCATTAAAAAATTTAATAGAATTATTTTATAAATTTAAACAGAAATTAGCACTAGCTGCTCGGTCAGTGAATGCCGAATATTTTCACATAAGAAAACAGTTAATATTAACATCAGAAATGAGGAGAACTGATACTACACTTTGATCCCAGCCCCATGGCCAGAAAAGCGTAATTGGATAGCACTGGCTGCTTGATCGATGAATGCTGAATATTTCCACATAAGAAATCGTTTAATATTACCATTAGAGATTAAGAGAACAGGTACACCATCTTGATCCCAGCCCTAGTACTCATGGGGTGATGAAAAGCGTAAGTGGAGTCGAAATTTTCAAATAAGGAAACGGCTAATATTACTATCAGAAATTGGAACTGTTACTACACTTTGATCCTAGACTAGTGGTCAGTAACCGAAAAAAGGCATAACCGAAGTAGCACTGGCCAAAGTTTTCTTATAACGAAATGGTTAATATTATCATGGCTATTAGAGATTAAAGGAACAGATAATACATTTGGATCGAATTTCCGTTGTTACCCAAAATCAGTTTAGGTTTTATCGTTGGTGTTATTAATTGTTATGACAGCTTAAGATTTTTTATTTAAAGATTTGTTTACATGTTCGAAGCCAAGTCATTTGCTCCGTTCTCAGTATATCTTTGTTCCTGCCCCATCACATCTACTATGATATTACCTGTAATTATTATTGTTATTATTATTATTTGATGTCGTCGTTGCTATTGCTGATGGTGAAGATTGTTGATTGCCAATAACTCCGTCTGTACCCCCCGGGGGTATGTTTTTCCCCGCGCAATTTAAGAAACACACAGTGGCATTGCTGTTTTCTTGTCTCCTCCTCTGCCCGTGTTCGCCTCACATGCGTTTCGTTTTCGGTACTGTCTTTGTTTATTTGTCGATGTATTTCTCTCCACAGCGCACAAGGGAATTTTCATTTACGAGAAATGTTTGATTCCATCTTGGCTCATGATTTGCCGTCAGCAATCGATGATCAAAGATGCCGAATCGGGAAAGAAAAATAACAAAATGGAAGAGAGGGAAAATAGAAAGAGTGTGAACGATAGAGGGTGAAAGACGAAAAGGGAGAGGAAGAGAAAATCAGAAAGAGAGAAAGAATCGAGAGAGAAAGAGAATATAAAACGAAAGTAGAAAATAAAGAGGGAAGAAGAGAACGAAGGAGAAATCGAGAATATAAAAACGAAAGTAGAAAAATAAAGAGAAAGGAAGATGCGGAGAACGAAATGGAAGAAATCAGGAAGGGAGCGAAAGAAAAGGAAAGGAAGACAAAAGAAAAATGCAAAAAGAACGAAGAAGTCGACAAGAAAGAAAGAAAGAAAGAAAATAAAGAAAGTCATAAAAAGGAAAAAGAAATAGAAAGAAAGAAAGAAAGAAAGAAAGAAAAGAAAGAAAGTCATAAAAAAGAAAAAGAAAGAAAGAAAGAAAAGAAAGAAAGTCATAAAAAAGAAAAAGAAAGAAAGAAAGAACAGAAAGAAAGTTATAAAAAAAGAAAAAGAAAGAAAGGAAGAAAATAAAGAAAGTCATAAACAGGAAAAAGAAAAAGAAAGAAAGAAAGAAAGAAAGAAAGAAAGTCATAAAAGGAAAAAGAAAAAGAAAGAAAGAAAGACGGACGGACAGACAGACATAAAGAAAGAAAGGAAGGAAGATAAAGAGAGAAGGAAAGAGAAAAATTGATGAGGGGAAAGAAAGAAACATAGAATGAGAGAAAGAAAAAAATAAATAAAACGTGAGATGCATTGGACGAAAGAGAAGATAGAAAGAGAGAAAGACAAACAAATAAATGTTAAAAATAAAATAAAAAAGAAAAAGAAATGAAAGAATAAATGCAGAAAAGAAAGAGACAAACAAACACAGGATTAAAATAGAAGAAAGAAAGAAAGAAAGTGTAATGAAGTGAGAACGAAAGGTTAACAAGTCAGAGAGAAGAACGATACATAGAATGAAAGAAAGAAAAATAAGCAGAGGGCGACGCAAAGAAAGAAAAAATAAGAAAATTAGAAGGAAAAGAAAAAAGGAAAAACAAAGAAAGAAAGTGAAATGAAGGGAGAAGAGAAGGGGAGGATTTGGAGAGAGAGAAAGAGAGAAATTGAATGAACGGAATAAAGTAAAAAAAAAAAGAAATATGTAGCAGAATGAATGAAATGTTGGTAAGAGAGTGAGAAATTACGGGAGAGATAGATAGAGAGAGAAATTGAGAACGAAAAGGAAGAAGTCGATGAGAAAGAAAGAAAGATGAAGCAAGAACGAAAGAAAACAAATAGGCAAAATAAAAACGTGGAGAAAGAGAGAGAGAGAGAGAGAGAGAGAGAGCAATAGAGAAACAGATAGAGAGGGAAATAATAATAAAAAAGAAAAGACATTAAGTTTATAACACCCAGAAATTCATACACAGATGTCCTCAAGGACACATGGCACAGTGGATAAAGGCGTTGGTTAGATCCAGTGACAGGACCCAATACCAGGTTAAGGCGGTGGAGAACTTGAAGAGGGGAACAAGCAGGAAATAACTGATGACATCCATTAGACATGGCACGTGGAACTAGAGCAGTCTACCCCAGCGAGCGAATTAAAGGGTTTAGTTCGACATTCCAACCACCTGAAGAAGGCCGGAGCGTACAAAGGCCGAAACGTTGTTATAAATATGGCAACAAAGATGAGGATGATAGTCCGAGCAATGTAAATAGTGTGATAAAAAGTCTTACTAATTAACCCATAGCTGGGGGTGGAGAAGAGGTGGAATCATACTTTTCCGGACGGTACTTACCCGTAAGTGAATATAACGAATCCTACCGGAATTGGAACTCGGCTCTCCGACTGACAACTCCGAGGCATTATTCACAACCACGCACCCGGTGTTCCCCAGCGGTCACCCATCTCGGCGCCGACCAGGTTCGACGTTGCGTAATTTTACCGTTCATACGAGAACCGGTGTTTCAACGTGACATGGCCGTAAGCCAAAACTGTAAAGTGATATCGGCTTTCCTGTATGGCTGTTAATGTTGAACACTCTTCTCACAGATGAAGAAGGAACATGGACCAACAGAAATATGGTTGTATGCTGAGAATAGCATGGGTTGAACATTTGAGTAACGAGGAAGTTCCAAGGAAAAAGCAAAGAAAAAGTGCTCTTATCAGAAAGGGTTGGAATATCTAGGGCAGATTATGAGGAAAGAAGTATTGGAGAATTTGACACTCACAGGTCATATTGAAAGCAAGAGTCGACAGGAAAATAACGAATAACATGCCTAACGAACTTGTGTAAATGGTTGGCAGAACAAGAATTAGGGGAGATAACAGAGTGACTAGCCTTACTCCGAGCTACAAAAGACAGGAAGTTGTTGAGAACCATGATCACCCACGTCCTGAAGAGACGCGGTACATGGAAGAAGAAGTATTTATTATTTAACGAAGTGTGTGGTACCCTCTTACTTCGTTAAAGTGGTACCCTCATTCATAAAGAAAATGAATGAAAATATTTAAAATTGACAAGTTTTTCCCTTTCCCTGAAGCTGACGTTAAACACATGAGAGTCTTATCACCTCTATTCTTTCTCTTTCTCTTGTGAAATCTAAACAGCGTCAAGACGTCCATTATTTAAATGGTATTGGTCGGATGTAACGCGCGCGCTAACTAATTAGCTTGCTAATTAAGGAATGGTCAAACCATATAATAATTATCAATGAGTATTTATTTAGATATTTCCACTGTATTCATTCATATATTTACTGTCCCATTTGCAGTGGGAAGGGAGGTAAATCAACTTCAGTTATTAAATTTATGAGTGATTACTTCCCTTAGTTATTCTAATAATCTATACAAATAAAATATTTATTTGCATTTAGTCAAATTTACTTCCCGAGCAAAATGAACCGTTTAATTAATCAGTTCCTTTACTCTTATATTTCTTAGATTGCAGTCTTATTTGTTCAAGCCTTTCATGTGAGGAAATCAGATACCTTTGTCTGTTAAGTGATCGTCTTCTTTCTACTGAATCTTGAAATAGGCTTTGTCGTTGCCGCCCTTGTTCTGTTGCTAATCTTTTTCTTCCGGGAATATTTCCATTTCACTGTTATATTAAACATAAAATGTTTAACATGAAAAGACATTGAGCAAAAAGCAATTTATATACCACTAGAAATAACCAATGAATCATAGATTAAAATAAACGTCTAAAAAATATAAAAGGAACAGATTAATTAAAAGGCCTCCATTTTAGTTGTGAGTTCTTTATGTCCGCTTTATTGAATTTTAATACATTGTCTCAAGACATTTGCTTCATTGCATCACACTATTAAAACTTTCTAAAGATTGTCGTCATTTTTTATGGCACGGGTGTACTATTACTACTAATTACTAGTATTATTATTAGTAGTAATAATAAACATTATAATAAATCGAAGTCGCAAATCTCAAATCGAAATCTAAAAAAATGTGGCACATGGGAACATCAACAATCCCTGTTGTAGTTGGAGCCCTCGGATTGGTTCAAAAGATTCTAGTAGACTAATTAAAGGGATTCCTGGAAGCCCATGCCTTAAAAAAATACAAAAAATGAACATACCCAGAGACATAACAAAGTAGTGACATATGTGCACTTGAAGGTATGCAAAAAACACAAAATCGAAACCACTGAGAGATGGTATAAACACCGACCAGACACAGTTACCCAAAATAACGATGTAACTATCCTCTGGGACATGCCAATTCAAACTGTTGGAAATAAAAGCCAACAGACCTGTGTGACGTCGTCCCCCCTGGTCGCAGCGTCGACTCTGTCGTTCGATCTCGTTCGTGACGCCAGCTGTTCGCTCCTCGCTGCTCCAAGTGTGACGTTCTAACCCTTTGGTTAGATGAATACCAGCCTTGTCGTTCCCAACTCTCTTCCAACGCCTGGTTACTAGGGTAACTGTACTGATCTCCGGTCTGCCTACCCACGTTGTGATTAGATCTTAGACAGACGGATCAAACAGGGATTGGGGCCGTATGCAAGCTGAGAGTCCAACGGGGTGATAACACACAAGAAAAAAGAAAACCACAAGGTCAAAAAATTATTGAAGAAAAAGGTAACAACTTTTTATATCTAAATGTTCGTTACACAAGATTATTCCTACCTCCCGACCCGTTTTGTGGACTGTGGCACCAAGCTTCTACCATATAACTTTAAGGCTTCGAGTTGCCTGCTTTCAGAAATTTGCATTTCGGGGTGTGGTTTGGTTTCAACACTGGGCGCTGATCTCTACCTGTCGTTCACGGCTGATTTCTCTCGTCGTCCGTGGCTGTAACTAACTCTCCTCAGAGTCTGAACTATTGTTCACTCATCTCTGCCGTCAGTGCGCGAACTAACTTCTTCTCTTCGGCTTCGGTTGGACGAGCTTATTCACTTCGGCTTGAGTTGGGCGAATTTCTTCACTTCGACTTGGGTTGGACGAATTTCTCTTCTTAGGCCAAACGAACCGGCCTTTCTTGCCGCAAAGGGACTAATGAACAAGGCCCGCCGTCCGCTCTGCAACCCAACTTAACTTCTTCTTCCGAGGCGCAACCCCAACTGATTTCTGTCGATTGGGGTCCTGCTTTTTATTGAGGCAGTCAAAAACTGGGGTGGGTCTGTCGGCGCCAGGGTTTTCTTTGATAATTCTAAAGACGTATTATTCCTGATTAGGATTTTCCATTATCGGTAACTTACTTTCACCCCTATTTCCTTACTGTGCCTCTGCGGGGAGGCGTATACCGCTTCCCTGGTCCCTCGTATGTCAGGGTGACCGCTCTGACCAATGGGGTCCTGGTCGGGCATCTTTCCTCCTCCCTCGCACATCATGTGACCGCTCTCGGCCAATGGGGTCCCGGCCAGGTGTCACTCCTCCTCCCTCATGTATCATGTGACCGCCTTCGGCCAATGAAACTCTGGTCGGTGTCTTCCCTCCTTCCTTCGTGACGTCTCTAATCGGGCGTGGACAATCCGTGGCTTTGTTCTGGGGGAAGAAATACCTTGCTTAAAAAAAACAAAATTTAAATTGTCCTTTTCGTACGATATCGAATGACGCTATCGGTTCCTTTCACACGTGGCATCTGTCAAAACAGCCTATCGCTAATTGGATGCGATCTAAGAAAGGAATTCTCCTAGACTGCGTGGCGTTCTCGCGAGCTAATACAAATATTTCACCTTTTTCTTTCGCTCGGAGCTTGTTAACAAAAATCTTAATTATCTCAAAAAAACATTTTCACCTTGGGTGGTTTTTTTCAACTTTAGAATTATCTGGCTTTCGTGTATTAATGTTTTGTTTTCATATCCTTAGATACAGTTTCCCATCCGTTACCTATCATCTCAATGACACCCTTTTCATTTGTTACTTACCATTATTTTTTTTTCATTGCCCCTAAAATTTTATTCTTCAGCCAAATTGATAACAGACTCCCATCCTCCGCGGACACGAAAGTAGGTCGGTGCTTGACCTGATATTTTTGACATCTGATATGTGCCAGTCGAGCGTGTGTGTTTTTGCTTACGACCTGGTTTCGTATTATATTTTCTTTCTTTCTTTTTCTTTTTTTTTTCATTGTCTCTAAACTCTATTTCTTCAACCAAATATAACAAACTTCCATTTTTTCGTGGATTTCGGTCAGGTACTTTGACCTAGATATCTTTTGACACCTGTTATGTGTCAGCTGAGCGTGTGTGCTTATGACCGGGTTTTGTA